TACTCGTGAAGCCAATTATAAATATAAAAAGAAAAGAAAGAAAAAAGGAGAGAGAGAGAGAGAGGGGGGGAGGTGAGAGCGCGGGAGGGGTAGAAAACGTTGTTCAAATTTCCCCTTGGTAAAGGCAAATTTAATTGCAGAAAAGTGTAGTCCATTAATAAAGCGAAAAGTGGAGGCGAAGGGCGGCGGCCAAAAAAAAAAAAAAGAAGAAAAAAAAAAAAGAAAAAAAGAAATACTTCTTTACCGGCATACAAAACAATCTATAGTAATCATACGTTATCAACAATGTACGAAGGGATGCCCACTCTCAGGCGCGATTAAATCGATGAATAATAAATCGAGTGGAAATCACTCCTCGGCCGTTCTTTTCAATCGATACGTTTAAAATGTAATTCGATCGAAAGCTACGCTCGTACACAACAAAACATTCGATAACGTATACGAACGTAGAAACACTTCTCCTCTCTTTCTCATGTCTATATTTATATATATATATATATATGTGAGTGTGTGTATGTGTGCATGTATGTATGTATGTATGTATGTATGTATGTATGTATGTATGTATGTATGTATGTATGTATGTATGTATGTATGTATGTATGTATGTATGTATGTATGTATGTATGTATGTATGTATGTATGTATGTATGTATGTATGTATGTATGTATGTATGTATGTATGTATGTATGTATGTATGTATGTATGTATGTATGTATGTATGTATGTATGTATGTATACGTGTGTGCTTTATCCATCGCAAAAGGAAAGGCTCGCAGAGTTGGCCTGGCTATCGAATAGTACATGTACCTACAACGCGTAGATCCTGAGAGACCTTTCCGAGACCGGAATTCAGCGCGAATTGTAATTTCCGGCACGCGACTGCAAGCCGATCCTACGGATTACTATCGCCGTCGAGTGTGGTCAGCCGAGCATGCACGTTAAGCGTTCGAAAGGGCTGCTCCGTACCACGCATTTTAACTAAAGAGGGATTTACTCGCTTTCGACCCTCCTTTCTTGCTCTCTCTCTCTCTCTCTCTCTCTCTCTCTCTTTCACTCTCACTCTCTCTCTCTTTTCTTTCCCTCTCTTCTTCGTTTTCGTTCAACGTAGCCCCCTCTTTAAGTTTCTCGGTCGTCGACCGACTATGGCTAACGCTCGTTCCTTTTATATGCCGCTTCTAAGGTAAGGGTTCTATTAGAAGAAGAAGAAAAAGAAGAGAGAAGAGAGAAGAGAGAAGAGAGAAGAGAAAAGAAAGAAAAGGAAAAAGAGGTTACCCTTTTGTAACGAGAAGCGAGTTCGATGATTAGACACGGACAACGAGTGGCCTCTCGAAACGACGAGAAACCAGCACACTAGAGACATGCAAACATACTCTTCTCGATCTCTTCTCTTTACTACTTCTCGCACTGAACGCAAAGGCTGCCCTTTCTCTTTTTTTTTTTTTCTTTCTTTTTCTTTTCTTTTCTTTTCTTTCTCTTTTCAAGTTTGCCTTCTCTCTACTACTAGAAACAGAGAGAGAGAGAGAGAAAGAGAGAGAGAGAGAGATCGAAGCTTCGAGATGGCAATGAGGGTGACAATGAGAATTTATTACTATTTTCTAACGTATTAGTTTCTAACTTCTCTTCCTTCTCTCTTAATAAAATTTCTAGAGAAAAAGAGAGAAAAAAGAAGGAAAAGAAAAAGAAAGACTTATAAAAAAATCCTAATGCGAATATCTCAAAGCGACGATATAAAAATTAGCAATTAATTTTTAAACTATTCATATGAAAGTATAATTAAATATCACGATTTTACACGAACATTATTATATCCCCGTATGATCCCTCATCCCATTCGTTACCACCCTTCCGCACTACCGCCCCCTCACCTTCAACCCCATCTCCCAGATAAAACCTTTCTCGATGAACTCTAAAGAGTGAAGAAGAAACAGAAAAAAAAGAGAAAAAAAAAAAACAAAAAAAAAGAAAAAGAAAAAAAATCACTATCGAGCTATCTTCCTTCTTACTAGCTAAGTGCTCGGGGTCAAGGGTTAATGCTCGCTGACAAAAAGAGAAAAAAAAAAAAAGAAAAAGAAAAAAGAAAGAAAAGGAAACAGAAAAAGACGGCACCAGTTCATCGTCGTCGTCGTCGTCGTCGTCGTCGTCGTCGTCGTCGTAGTCGTCGTCGTCGTAGTCGTCGTCGTCGTCGTTGCCACCATTGTAGTGGGTAACAATCTCCGTCATTAAAATGCACGTACATAGTTAGTATATGCACGAGGAACGAAAATTGAAAAGGTTCTCTCGCGAGAGCTTCGCTTGCGAGAAAAAACGCAACGGTAGGCGAACACCTATGTTGGACGAAGAAAAAAAATAAAAGAGAGAGAGAGAGAGAGAGCGAGAGAGAGAGGAAGAAAAAAAAAATAAAAGGAGATGAGTAGTAGAAAAAACTACATACGTAGGCGACTTCTAAAGCATTTTCCGTGGCAGGACTTTTCGTAATGGCCCTTTGCCTCTGTGTCCCTATGAATATGCATGCATGCGTGCATGGCACGCGTAAGACGTACTTCCTTCTTCGCCTCGAGCATATTCGAGGCCTCTCGCGAAACTCCAGAAAAAAAAGAGAGAGAGAGAGAGAATAATTCTACATTTCAACATTCCAACAGTGATATATCCGTCCTCTTCGCTGTCCCATTTATCCTTTCATTCGTTCTTCAAACTTGATAAACTTTATATTTCACAAAATACCTGGATAAATTTTAATTAATATCTAATCTATAATATCTTATTATTAAATTTATATTTATATATAAATTTTGTATATATTTTCATATCATTATGATTGAATGATTTTATCTTTACTAGGACGATTTAATTGTAAGGATATATTCGCCTAAATTTTTATCGGATTTATTCAAAGAGAAAGAAAAAAAAAGGATAGAAAAGAAATTAGAATTAAATGTCCCAAATGAAAACTATTGGGAACAATTTGAATCATGAATTCGATCGAGATTCTTTCGAGCATAACGTTGTAATATTACCATGGATGGATCCAGTCGTACGATCAATACAATTATCGTTGTCCTTTCTATTCGATAAAACGATTCAATATTGTGAAATTACGAAACGAGCTGGCGATTATCCAGAAATACGAGGGAGAAGCCGATAATGCTTTAAATGATCGAAGGACAGAGAGAGGGGGAAAGGGGGAGAGAGAGAGACAGAGAGACAGGGTAGGAGGGATATAGAGGGTGGTAACATATGCTTGCCATACATACGTTTTGAATTAATTCGAATCTCTTAATTACGCTTGTAGGATTTTGTAAAATTCGAAAGCGTTCGCTTGACGTTGAAAAGAAATGAAAAACATTCAGAAGAGAGTAGTAGTAGTAGTAGTAGTAGTAGTGGTAGTAGTAGTAGTAGTAGTAGTTAAGGGTGGTGATATTAAGAGAAAGTCTTCGTCATCGTCGTCGTCGTCGTCGTCATAGTATGACTCAAAAAGAGAGAGAAAGAGAGAGAGAGAGAAAAAAAAAGAGAGAAAAAGTAAGGGTAGAAAATGATCAAAGGCTCGTACACACTAGAGCGCCAACAACCCCCCGGATACTTTATAATTAAAGCCAGGGCACGAACGCTCGTTTCGCTGTGAGAGAACAAGGTGTAAAAAGGCCACTCGAAATGGGAACGAGCTGCTACGTTGCATCGTTGGTTTCTCGCCGTTCTATCAGAACTACTTATGTATGTATATGTATATATACACTCATATATACGTATATCTATACATACAAATATAAATATATATATATATATATATATATATATATATTATATATGTATATATATGTATATATATCGTGGCATAACAAAAATTGAATTTTGCTAGGGGATGATTGTGATAGTGGTATGTGTATAATGCTAATGGAAGTAATAGTTACAGTCGTAATGTCAGACTAACTTGAAAGAACTAAGAGTTCAGTTTTCCGTACGTCTGAGTACGACAAAGAGAACGAAACTTTCCGTTTTATTCGGGCAAATTAACATCGTTACAGGAGGCTGTGGATTCCCGAGCTTTGAGGTATAATTAACTTTTCAAACGGACGGATGAACGAACCAACGAACGAACGAACGAACGAACGAACGAACGAACGAGCGAACGAACGAGCGAACGAACGAGCGAACGAACGAACGAACGAACGAACGAACGAATGAACGAACCGATGAGCAAATGAACGAACGAACCGACGAATGACGAAAGGAATAATAAAAGAAAACGATAAAAAGAAAGAAAAATATATCAGAAAAAAGAAAAAGAACAAAGAAAAAAAGGAAAGAAAAAATTGACAAATTTTGAAGATTAAATACGATAACTTGGAACGAATTTTCTGCGAATTATCGAAACTGCATTTTCGAGAGATCCTAAAAAGATTTGACTTTTGGCATTACTTCTTCCATCGAACGAAAACTTGTTTAGAAAAGAAGAAAAAGAAGAAGAAGAAGAAAAATAGATAGAATAGAAAATAGAGAAGGAAAATTTGATTTCTGTCACGGGGCACTTATCCATTTTCTATATATGGAAAAGTATCACACAAGGACGAACTATATACAATAGATACTCGTGAAAATCCCTTAAAACTCAACGACATTATCCATGCAAAATATCTCGCTATATACTTTTCTCTTTATCCCAAGAAAAGCTGATTTTATGATAGTCACTAATGCGAGCTAACAAAGAGCATTCTTAACCGCATAGCGTAACTAGGGTAACGTATATCCGTTATGTTGGGAGGAAGAAAATGTTTTTTCTACGTAAAATTGTGAAAGAATTACTTGCGATTTTCTAACGTCACTAGTTTCTAGGGAATATGGCGTGCATTTAATACGAATACTATTCTGTAGTGTGTGTGTCTCTCTCTCTCTCTCTCTCTCTCTCTCTCTCTCTCTCTCTTTCTTTGAAGATTCTCACGGTAAGACAACCACACAGCCCGAAGCAAGGCAGCCATATTGAGGTCAAAAGTCATGTACTTACCTTAATTAATAAACCCACCAACTAGTATCACGAAACGTCCTTCTTCTTCTCCACCTCCTCTTCTATACTTCTATCATCTCTCTTCTAAACTTTTTCAAATGTTCACGAACACGTCGAAGTGCCTTCGACCTTTTCGAAGAGTATCTAAATATAATGGAAAAAAAAAGAAAAAAAAAAAAAGAAAAAAAAAAGGAAAAGAAAAAAAAATATTTATCAATTAATTACCCAATTACAATTTATGTTTTAATTAATACGATCAATCGTATTAATTTAAATATAAATATTTCAAATGCGTACGTGAGAATTTAACGAGACGAGGTTAAGTATGTATCGAACGTTCAATAATACGAATTAAAAAGGCAAACTTTCTCGTAATAATTAATTACATTTCGAATGGATCCTCCAATATATTCCCTTTCGTGAGATCCTAAAAGGTTTTTATTTAAATTACAGTCCATAAAAAAAAAAGAAAAAAAGAAAAAAAAACAAAAAGATAGGGAAACTTTAAAAGGTAACCAAGGAAAAAAAGAGGAAAGAAAGAGGAGAAAAAAAGGAAAAAAAAGAAAAAGAAAAATAAGAAAAAAGATGAACGACGTAAAGATTTACGGATTAACGTACCAACGTTAGCAAATCCGCTATGGATTTTTTAAGCCGGTTTCGTAGTTCCTGAATTCCACGAAATTCCTCGGTATTTGTTGTAATACTCCACTGAGACTGAGAAAAAGATTTTAGGGAGAGTATTCGAAAGGATAGAGGAGAAACATAGAGGAACTCAAAAACGTATCAAGAATACACGGTCGTATCGTTCTTTAATGAAAACGATAAAACGAGAAAAAAGAGAAGAAATTATATTTATAAATCGAATTTCGTATTGTCTGTATCTATTTTCATTTTACCACACACACACACACACACACAAACATATACATATATATATATATATACCATATTTATTTACACGATGTGTTTCATTTAACTCGAAATATTTGAAAATTATCTCCGTCGATTATGACGAATACGAAAACGAAAAAAAAAAAAAAGAAAAAAATTTATATAAAAGAAATTATTGTCCATCAAAAAGGTATTAATATACCCATTAACATAAAGTTCGTTTCTCAATATCATTCTTTTTTTTTTTTTTTCAAAATTTCAAAACGATAGGTATACTTTTTTTATTTATTTTTTTTCTTCTTCTTCTTCTTCTTTTTTTTCTTCTTTTAAATGAACAGACGAACATATTTTTCATCGTAATCTCGTCATAGTTTATAAAAATCAACGAAATACGATTGTACGATATGTTTGCGCCAATCGACAAACATTGTTCTTTTCATTTCATTTGAACGAAACAAATTTCTTTTTGCATCAAAACCAACAGAGACATTTAAGTTTCTCGAGTTATATGTAACATTCTTTTTCTTTCTGTGCACGCCCGCGCGCATCTATGTATAATACTTAAAACATATATATATATGTATATATATATATATATATATATCGAGAGCTTAATTTTATCGTCGAAAATTCACACCGACTTGTTCTCCTCCTACTCCTATTCCTACTCCTCCTCTTTCACCTCCTTCTCTTTCTCATCCTCCACTACTTGCTTTTACGGCGAGTATTAAAATGGTTAAAGGTACGAGAAGAACGAGATAGCCCGTTTTCTCTCTTTCTGATCATATGCAAATGGCAAGGGTAAACGGGGCCGAGTAGTAACGCTTACTTTAAACTTCCAACGTGGATGTTCCGTTCCTTTCTTCTTGGCCGATGTGGAAATTGAGAAATAGAAGGAATAAGAAAAAAAAGAGAGAGAGAGAGAGAGAGAGAGAGAGAGAGGTATGGTAAAAGAAATAGAAAAAGACAATCAGATAAAAATAGAGCTCAGAGAGATAGAGATAGAGATAGAGATAGAGATGGAGATAGAGATAGAGATATAGTGATGGAAAGAAAGAGAAGCAATCGTTGGTACCACATAGCACTTTAACATTTCCCTGGGACATCCCTTCCCACTTCTTTCTCTTCTTCATGGCATTAAATTCCACACTTAACTCCCTCCACTCTGGGCCACTCTCTCTCTCTCTCCCTCTCTCTCTCTCTCTCTCTCTCTCTCTCTCTCTCTCTCTCTCTCGTTTTTCTGTTTTTTTTTTCTTCTTTTTTCCTTTTTTTATTTTCTCCTCGAACCACACCGCGCAAAAGTTTTCTCCGAAAGTTTCCAACTTTCTCTTTGGCGCTTGGCTAAACTAGAGAAAAGAGATAAAGAGAGTAGAAGAAAGAGGATGTGTGCGTATGTGTATATGCATGTACATATGTGTATATGTATGTATGTGTGAGAGAGAGAGAGAGAGAGAGAGAGAGAGAGAGAGAGAGAGAGACATAAGAGAACGAAGAGGATGAGTTCCGCCCTTAACGAACCGTACTCAATGCCGAACATGCGTTCTTAGAGGGCTACTCCTTGGCCTTTTCTCTCGTTTTTCACGATGACGGATCGTCTTGAAAGCTTCTTGTTCACTCGAGAAATAGAAAGAGAAAAAGAGAGAGAGAGAGAGAGAGAGAGAGAGAGAAACTAGACGTTGAGAGTCTAAAAGTAAAAAAAAAAAAAAAAAGAAGAAATTCTTGCGATTGTAAAAAAAAAAAGAAAAAGAGAAAGAAAAAAAAAGGAACCTTCGTCCAAGGATCCTTGCAAAATGTAAAAAGCTTACACTTAACAATAAGATGCAGGACGAAGTAATCAAGATCTAGGCGAATATTAAGGGAAGAGAGAGGGGGGGGAGTGGATGGAAAAACAATGTGGCCGAACGATGAATCAAAAGAAAGAGAGTTGGAGAAAAAGGAGAATGAAATATTGAAGCTTCGAATCAAGACAAAAGGCTGAGGGGTAAAGACAGAGAAAGAGAGACAATAAATGAATCGGTATATACTCGAAAGAAGGATAAGGATGAACATTCCGTAGAATGAGCAGGATGTTTCCGAAAGGATAGAGAAAAGACGTTCAGAAAGAAAGAGATGGAAAATGTTCGCGTGGGACGCAAGATCTCATCGGAGTCTTGTCGGATCTCGTTAGGAATCTGCGACCACCGAGTGTTTGCTTTCCCAAGAGTCGCAGTGTAGAAGAGAATCGCAGGTCGAGCGTACGCTCGACCGTACTTCTACGAACGAAAGGAGAATCCAGAGTATCTCTTTCTCTCTGGCTTCCTTAAAGACAAAGAGAGACAGAGAAAGAGAGAGGGAGAGAGAGAGAGAGAGACAGAAAGAGAGAGAAAATTACAAGGTAGCGGAAAGAGCAGAGAGTCGAGAAAGAAGCTGCCTGCAAGCTACGTCAAGGTCGTGAACGAAAGGATTCTTTCGGATAATCCTACGGCCGCTTCTCGGGGATAATAATACTTTCGCTCGGACGAAAAAGTTCTCCTCCTTTTCCGTGAGGGATGGAATTATCTCTCGAAGGCAAAGCTTCGTGAAGTATAGAAGGAAGCGACGCATCGGTAATGGTTTAATTAAATCTCTTGAATCAGACTGATGGTGATTAAAAGTACCTAAAGATCCGAAAAGACACGGACTGTTGTCGAATGAAGAAAACTCTTTTTTCTTATTCCCAAGCACTAATTATCGTTGGATTAACGAAGAAGATGTTCTCATTATGAAAACTTATGCTTCTCTGAAAATTTCAACAAAGAACCAATTATATATACGTATATATATATATAGCCAGAAAGGAAAACTCGATTTTGGTATAACACTACATTTATCATTAAATATATATATATATATATATATATATATATTTCTCTATATTATATATAATATATATAATATAGAGAATATTCCTTTGAACATTGTAAACTGAGACATAAAAGAGAGAAAGAAGAGACAAAGAGAGAGAAAGAGAGAGAGGAGAGAAGAAAAATCGATTCGACCAAATGATACATATATCATTAGATGAGATTTATTCTTATATAATATTTTCAAATATTTATTTGAAAAAAAAAAAAATATATATATATACACATATATATTTTTCTTTCTTGTTATACCATTGCAAATGTTACTTTTGTAAATTTGTAAATGCTTAGAAAAATGTATTTGTAACAAAGATATTTGTTCGCATACGTAAGGAAAAGAGCGTAGATAAGTAAGCATGATCAGCATTGAAGATCTTTATGGCTTACGTTTTCTCAACCAAAGGATACCTTGCTCAGATACTATATCCTCTTACATCTACATATTCTCAACGAAATACAATACTTTGCGACTTTGCATAGAAAAGAAAAATGTATGATCTTTCACCTTTAACATAACGTGGAAGCTACCAAATGTTTATCTCTAAATTTTTTTCAAATCTTTATCTTTTATTTTCTAATTTAATGATTCACCGTATTTACTCCAATAATACAATTAATAAACAAAATTATATTCACCGTAATTCATATAATTAAATATTTTACGTATGTATATTATCAACGAATATATATTATTAAACTCAACAAAATGTTAGATCGATAAAAATTCATATTTAATGATATATGGATCGTTAAAATCAAATCGAGTTCTCCTCTCTCTCTATCTCTGTCTCTTTCTCTTAAATAAATTTATGATGATCGATTAAGAAATAATGAAATATTATCTAACATTTCACGTTCACAATAGATAAATATCATTTCATTTTCAAAAACGTATACATATACATATATTATCAATAAACGTATTAATGAATTCAAAGGGTATATCAAATCAACAAAAAAAATCTCATCTAACGATAAACGAATAGTACAGTCTAATCGAAAAAAAATTCAATTTTCTTTTCATTATCTATCTCTCTATCCCCACCCCATCTCTCTCTCTCTCTCTCTCTCTCTCTCTCTCTCTCACACTTTTATTTTTAATTCGATACAAGGGAATATAAGAAGAGATCGGTATACGAATAGAAGCAGACATTGAGTTTGAAAAAGGAAAGGGATAAGAAGGAAAAGGAAGAGAAAGAGAAGGTGGAGGAGGAGCAGGAGGAGCAGGAGGAAGAGAATTTTACTCTCCTCCTACGTGCCTTCGATACAGGAAGGTACTTTGTTGCGTGTATAATGCATACAGGGGAATCCATTTGAAAAGTAAACATTCCCGTTTCAATGGAGAAACGTATGGTGTATAGCTGTAGATAG